GTGAGAACTAGATCAGTCTGTGTGTCTGTTAATTTGTCTGTCTGTCTGTTTGTGTGTGATATCAAGCTGGACTGGATGTTCCGATACTCCATCATACAGGATATCGTGAGGGGGAGAACTATAAATCAATGTGTCTGTTTTTTTGCCTATTAGTTTATTAGTCAATGATTCTCACTCAGTTTGAATATTTGAATGTATGTATGTATTCTTGTCTCTTTGTGTGTTATCAAGCTGGACTGGATGTTCCACTATTGCATCATGCAGAATATTTTCATGATAACTATATTAGTCTGTCTAATTGTTTGTTTGTCTATTAGTTTGTTTGTTAATGATTGTCAGTCTATTTGAATGTTTGAATGTATATATGCTTGTCTTTTTTTGCGTTATCATGCTGGACTTGATGTTCTGCTATTCCATCATACAGTATATTGTCATAGTGAGAACGATATCACTCTGTGATTGTTTGTTTGTCAGTCAGTTTGATTGTTTGACTCTGGTGTGGTTTGCTCCTTCTTTCCTATCAAACATCTATCGTCCTTATCTCCTCTCCTTCTTTTTTATGTTTGTTACTCTCTTGTAACACCTCTAATCTTCTGGTGCTCATATGATCTTATGTAGTTGCGAGCGCCGTAAAACCTCTACTAAAACAAACAATGATCGTTTGACTGTATGTATGTTTGTGTGTTATCAAGCTGGACTAGATGTTCAACTATTCCATCATTCAGAATATTGTCAGGGTGTGAACTATAATAATATATCTCTCTGTGTGTCAGTCTGCCTTTCTGTATATCTGTCAGCCTGTCTGTCTGTCTGTTGTTGTTTTATGTATGTAGTCTATGTATGTTTGTCTATTTGTCTATTCGTGTGTTATCAAGCTGAGTGAGTAGAGCTTTTAGTTTTAGTAAGATTGGTACATATTATTATATGTTTACGGCATGACCTACAATGTAATAAAGTCAAACACATGCCGGAGATTAGAGGTGTTGTTACTAGAGGTGTTACAAGTGAGTAATGGACACTCAAACAAAGAAGGAAGAGAGGTAAGGGCAATATATTATGTAGATGTTTGGTGGGGAAAAAAGGAACAAAACACCAAGAGGAGCGACAGTTGTTCCAAAGACAAAGGCCGACCCACCGACCGAATGTACCGCTACCAAAAATATATTTTTTGTTTTAGTGTTTTACAGCACTTGCAACACAGGTCTTTGGTATATATACCTTGGATTAATCTCTCACTTTTTTAATTGTCCACTTTATACATGTACTTTGAAATGTTAGTGGGCTTACAATATTTCTTCCAGATTTTTTTTTTTTTGCAAGAGTTTTACGGCATTTGCAACACAATAGGGAGAGAGTTCGAGGGAGAGAGGGAGAGAGAGAAGCAGAGAGAGGCAGAGAGAGAGAGGCAGAGAGAGAGAGAAAGAGAGAGGGGGGGGAGAGAGAGAAACAGACAGAAACACGTAGAGAGAGAGAGAGAGAGAGAGAGAGAGAGAGAGAGAGAGAGAGAGAGAGAGAGAGAGAACGTGAGAGTGCATGTATGCGTGTATTTCAACATTTCATCGGCCGTGTAGATCTAGATCTCCACGAGACACTAATGTCCTCTTGACGTGTCAATAAAGCTGAAAAAAAAATGGTGAAATGGTATAGGTTTAACGCCCCTATCAACACTATTAGGTTATTTAAGGGGTGGGACCTCCTAGTTTAACGTCCGTCTCCGATAGAACCGAGCCAAATGGGAAGTTCGTGTAAAGTGCCTTTCCCAAAAACACAACGTCGGACCGAGCTGAGGCTCGAACCCCCCGAACTCGCCATCTCACGATTACGAGCCCGCTAGCCTAACCACTAGACCACCGACGCCACTGAAGCGTGAAGTGTGCAATGTGTACTCGTCAAAGATCTATAGTGGGCCATCTCCCCTCTTTTTTTCTATCTGGGGTTAGCCTACTTGTCCTTGCGACCATACTCAAATAGCTATAAATGTCGATCTGGAAGAGAGGGTGGTTGGCGGGTGCTCTGGTGTGGTTTGCTCCTTCTTTCCTATCAAACATCTGTCGTCTTTATCTCCCCTTCTTCTTTTTCGTGTTTGTTACTCTCTTGCAACACTTCTAATCTTCGGCACTTCTATGACCTTATGCAGTTGCGAGCGCCGTAAAACCTCTACTAAAACTTAAAAGATCTATAGTGGGCCATCTCTCTTCTTTTTTTCTATCTGGGGCTAGTTGGCTTGTCCTTGCTACCATATTCAAATAGCTTTATTAATATTATGTCGATCAGAAAGAAATATTATTATTGTAAGCTCACTATCATTTCAAAGTTGAAAGTGGACAATTAAGGCTGCAGACGCACTGGCTTCTCTTCACGTTCCCCACGGTTTTACGTTGTTACCGTCACCCAACTTACAGATGTGACGGAAGCCTAATTTTTTAACCTATGTCCGGCGTCGCATTGACTTCACATTACAATTACAATCCCCACACTTTCACGGCCCGCCCTTCACCATTTTGATTTTACTGCTACAGTAAAATTGCTCTCTGCAAATCGTCATTCTGCGGTCTAGGATAAGAGCGGAAATTCTGAAAATACCACAGTCAGGATGTAGAAAGCTGTGAAATTCATTTTTATTTTAAAAATTGCATTAAAGTGTAATTTTTACTTCAGATTTGGATTCTGCGACAAAAATTACCGTATAGAGCGCGAGATTTTAACTTTAAGGCCCATTTTCGCAATATAGAAAATAGAAATATAATTGTAAACACGCTGACCTCGACCTACATGTTTTGTCTCTTTTGGTTGTTCACTTCTTTCTTCTTGTAGGCTCTATATAGATGTACAGATCTAGCTAGATCTAGTCAATATTGAGACAGTTGAGTCAGAACTTGAGCAGACGACAAAATGGAAGAAGCATTAATTGCAGCGGTGTAGAAGAGACCTGCACTTTTCGATAAATCACAAGACAATTCCTCCAACAGATATGACGTCAACAAGCAGTGGGTAGACATTGCTAGTGGGTGGTTGGCGGGTGCTCCGGTGTGGTTTGCTCCTTCTTTCTTATCAGACATCTATCGTCCTGATCTCCCCTCCTTCTTTTTTGTGTTTGTTACTCTCTTGTAACACCTCTAATCTTCGGCACTTATATGACCTTATTGTGTTGCAAGTGCCGTAAAACTTTTACAAAAACTAAAAGACATTACTAAAGAAGTTGGACTGGAAAGTAGAAATTAAAGTTTCATGATTGTTGGGGGTTTTTTTTCAATCACGAGGGAGAAAGGAATGTGAAGTCAGTACGTTTGTGTAACCCCCCCCCCCCCCCCCCCCCCAAAAAAAAAAAACAACAACAACAAAACAAAACAAAACACACACACACAAAACGGAGAGTTGACAACATGGGGAACGTGAAGCCAGTGCGTTTGCAGCCTAAGAAAACGAGAGATTAATTAATTAATGCAAAGTGTATACCAAAGACCTGGTCTCTTTGAGGAATCCAAAATAAGTGTATGCAAAACAGGCATAGAAAGAAAAGAAGGGAAAAAGCAAAGAAATAGGAATTGAAGAAAAAAACAACTTTTATTTTCACTTTATAAATGTTCACATTATTCACTGTCTCTCGAACCATTGTAGGTGTGAATGCTTCACCGGCCTTTGTCGATAGACTGTCGCTCGTACAAGTGTTTGGTGTGAACTTTACAAACAATACGATACCAAACCAAACTAAATAAAATAAACATACATTGCAAATACCCCAAAAAACAACCCAACAACAACAAAACACACAGTGCATACATACATAAATAATAATATGAAACAATACAAGAAAATACATACAAAGAATAAAAAACAACACAACACAAAACACACCACACAACAAAAAAACAACAACAACAACACAAGACAGGACATAAATTGACGAGAGCCTCACGCTGACTCACATATGAAACAATACAATAAAATACAAAACCATACAACACAACACAATACAAAACACACAACGCTACAAAAAAAAACCAGCACAATGCAGTACAAGGCTGTACAAATGAAGACAGTAAGATACGATAAGTCAAGAAATATCTTTGTCCAGATCCTGGCACAGTGGTTTGGTGTTGCACCATGTGTACAATCACGCACGCACGCACGCACGCACGCACGCACGCACGCACACGCACGCACGCACACGCACACACGCACGCGCACGCACACGCACGCACACGCACACGCACACGCACACACATGCACACACACACTGGTATGGTTTGCTCCTTCTATTCTACGGATAGGATAGGTTCTTGTAGAAGATCAGTCTGTGTGTCTGTTCATTTGTCTGTGAGTTTGTTTGTCAGCCTGTTTTTCTGTATGTATGTTGGTCTATTTGTGAGTTATCAGACTGGACTGGATGTTCCACTATTCCATCATTCAGAATATTGTCATAGTGTGAACGATATCAGACTGTGTGTCTGTCCGTTTGTTTGTCTGTTAGTTTGTGCATCTGTCTGTTTTTCTGTATGTATGTTAGTCTGTTTGTGTGCTATCAGGTTGGACTAGATATTCCGCTATTCCATCATTCAGAATATTTTCATAGAGAGAACGATATCAGTTTGTGATTGTTGGTTTGTCTGTCTGCTAGTTTGTCTGTCTGTGTGTTATCAAGTGGAGTGAGTAGGCCTAGTGATTTTAGTTTTAGTTTTAGTAAGATTAGTTCGGCATGACATGCAATGCAATAAAGTCGAACTAATGCCGAAGATTAGATGTGTTGTCACTACAGGTGTTGTTACTACAGGTGTTGTCACTAGAGGTGTTGTCACTAGAGGTGTTGTCACTACAGGTGTTGTCACTACAGGTGTTGTCACTAGAGGTGTTGTCACTGGAGGTGTTGTCACTACAGGTGTTGTCACTAGAGGTGTTGTCACTACAGGTGTTGTCACTACAGGTGTTGTCACTAGAGGTGTTGTCACTGGAGGTGTTGTCACTACAGGTGTTGTCACTAGAGGTGTTGTCACTACAGGTGT